CGGTTCAAGAGGCGTTCTTCGTCCATGCCGAAGAGGACTGCTGGAGTTTACACGACGAGTACGACGTGACATCGTGTAACGATTTGGATCCTCACCAGCCTCTTTCAGAATTCCAGGAAGAATGCGTCGTCTAGCATTTATAAACCAGTTACACACCTGCAAAATTTAATGTTATTAGCAAATCAATGCAAATTAGAGGATAATCAACGAAAAACAGCTTAAACTGTTATAATCCATTAATAAATCAATTTATTTTGATGAAATTCATGTTTAAAAATGGGCTGATGTGTTAGATACTTATTACAAACCAGGAATGATTTTATTAGTTGGTTTTGGTGAAGAGTATCCTATATTTGGTCAAATTAAATATATTCTGTTTGAAGTGGATACTAAGGTTGTTTCTTATATTTTAAGAGGTTTTGAGACCTTATCATTCTCTTCTTTGTGTGTATCAAGCATATAAAGTTGTTACTATAATAAAGTGGATTTTTATAGAGCAGAAGATACTTCAAAGTATAAGGCACAAGTTATGAAAGAAGGGATTTTTAATGCGCAAATAAAATAATGTTAAAAGTGTAGCTTGAATTTCTTTTTCAAAATGCAAATGTAAGCATATTGTATTATAGAAAATGTCAAACAGAGTATGTGCCTTAATATTATAATAACGAATGTCAAAACTTATACCCAGCAAAAAATTAATTCGTTAATTGATGTCAAAATGATGTCAAATTGACGTCATTCGACGAATCATTTTGCGCTGCGTATACAAATATTTTAAGTAAAGAAATGTGTTTAAAATAAATATAAGTTTAAATATGTATTTACCCATTCTACTTTATTCTTCTATATGTAAATAATAATCAATAAAATGTTATGTTCTTTTACAGCTGTTAATAACTTAATACTTATAAACTTTTCTTTCTTATATACATTAAAAATTTTTTTATAATCTTCTAACATTAAGCTCTGTTTTGTGTATCTGTGTCTTTTATTTATTTTATCATTAATATATAAATTTTAATATTTACAAATTACAAACGATGTCAAATTATAAAAAAAAGATCTACAAATTTCAGCATTAAAAGCTATATCAGAATATGGGACATTGCTATAATTGTAATTTGTAATTATAACAATGTCCCATATTCTGATACAAATTTTAATGCTGTGTACTTGTAAATCTTCCTTTTATAATATATTTTGTAATTTGTAGATATTAAAATTTGTGCATTAGTAATAAAATACATAAAAGTTAACACAGATATACAAAACCGAACTTAACACCTACAGATTATAGACAATTTTAATGAATATATGTATATAAGATAGGAAAGTTTACAAGTGTTAGTTTGGGTTACGGAGATATATAGATAAATCTGTGTTAAGCATTAAAAATTTATTTTTTGTGTACTATTTACCTGCATTATGGTAAGGCTGGTCTGGAGACTGAGCGTTTTCTTTTCAACGTCGTTTGGATAGGCGTTGAATTTGTGGTCGCTCAGCCACCGTTTTAGAATGTTAACTGCCTTCTTCGGCAGATTTTCACGACGCCTCCGGCCCGTCGTGTTCTGCGCGTTGACAACACGTCGATTGACGCGATTTTCACCGCGGTTTACCGGCGACCCACATGGTGAAGTATTCTCCGCTTCCGATGAGATACTCTCATCGTCGGTCGGAGGCGACGCCCTTCTCGTGGCAAGCCGTCGATTGCAGTAAGGCACTGTAATTAGAAAATAATAAACTGATTACTCAATAAAATAAAAGTATCACCTGCAAAACAACAAACAAAATACTATAATTTTGTGAATAAAAATTTTAATTTTTTAAAAATCGAATTCTAGATTCACAAAGGTGTCTAGTGTATCTGTCAATAACAGACTCGCGAATTAAAATATATTTTTATTCAATATCTATTATTAAAATCATAAAAATGATTTTTAAAAAAAAGACATCGGTTATTTCAAATCATCATGATCATAAATTCAAATGGGAAAAAATTAAAATTTTAGATAGTGAAACTTCATATAATAAAAGATTGATTTCAGAGGTTAATTGGTATCATCTTTCATTTTATTTGTAACATATACACTAAACTATAACAATCCATAACTTAGCATTGTGATGAGAAAGAGAGAGAGAGAGAAAGAAGGGAGATTTTTAATCTTAAATTCCATATCATAATCACATTAAGAGTATCTCTTGTTATTTTAAAAAGATATAATAAATAAATCTATTACATATCTAAATGATATAATTAAATATATAATTTAATTATTTTGTTATTTAATTTTTCACGACTGCTTTACGCTGCAGATTACTCTCGAATTTTTGAATATCTTGTATATCTGTATAGGAGTGAGAAATAACAGGAGTGAGAAATAAGATACTTATAGTATCATTAATATTATCGTTACTTTTTTCTATCTGTAACTGTAACGGTAACGTTATTAAATTTTTACAGTAGCAGTAATAAATTCAGCCGTTACACTTCTATCGTTACTTCAATCTACTCTTATTACCGTTGTACATATTCGCATAAGTTTTAATTAGCTAGAAATATTTTACTTAAATCACAAAATAAATATTCTGAGCCAATGTGAGCCAACACAGGTTAATCGAAAAATATATACATATATATGAATACATATTTTTCTTTACTGTTATGAATTAGGCTCGGTTTTCGTTTTACAATAAAGTTTATTACGGATTTATTACAACAGAAACTGTTACACGAGATCAGAGCGAGCTCTCTCAGAGTAAGGCAAACGAACGTCTAAAAAAAATGATGCACGAAAAGAAACAAAAAACGGCAGAATTCAGGAAACGAACATTACTGACATAAAGACATGTTCACAGTAAATTCGCAGACAAGATTCTTAATTTTATAGCTTAGCGCCATCTAAGAACTACCTCAACGATTATACTTTCTCTAACACCCTCTCTTAATCGTTGACTTTTTGAACATGTTTCTTTAGTCTAAATAAATAAATCTTTAGAGTAATATAATTGTTACTTAAAAAAACGCAAATATAGATATTTATTAGACTCTTAAACAATGGATTTGTCTAAAGCTCTTAAACTTAAAAGAAAATATCTATGTTTAAATTTTAATTTAATCATAAAGAACGTTTACATAAAATAAGCAACAAACTTTACTTGCTTAAAATTAGATTTTTAAACTTCTCAAATTTAATATGGTAAATATCTAGAAAAGGGGAGCCCCTCCCGATGATCTTGACCTTGACATATGTTGTCAAGGTCATGACCCTGAGTGACCTCCCGCAGGTTTTAGGTGGCGGTCGCTGTCCGTTAAAAAGTTATTAACAAAAAAAGTTTCAAAATTAATGTATCATTTCTGCCATATATGTATTATAACAAGTTCTATTTTACATTTCCTTCCGTTAGAAACGTTAAACTTTCCACGCGAAGTAACTCTCACCTCCCCCAACCCCCTGCGAAGGGGCACACGACTTCTACGATTGTACTGTTGCTATGATAGTACTGTCGGGGTAGACCTCTGTGACGGTGTGGGTGCGGGGGGGTGGCCGAAGGTCGCCGTTGACAGAGGTCTGTCCCGACAGTACAATCATAGAAGTCGTTTGCCCCTTCGCAGGGGGTTGGAGGAGGTGAGAGTTACTTTGCGTGAAAAGTTTAACGTTCCTAAACAGAAGGAGATGTAAAATAGTACTTGTTATAATACATATATGGCAGAAATGATACGTTAATATGTATAATTTCCGAGAAATGGTACGTTAATTTGAAACTTTTTTTGTTAATAACTTTTTAACGGACAGTGACCGCCACCTAAAACCTGCGGGAGGTTACTCAGGGTCATGACCTTGACAACATATGTCAAGATTATCGGGGGGGGGGGCTCCCCTTTTCTAGATATTTACCTTTAATATTACCGAGTGGTTTGGTAAACACATCTGCTATTTGTTCGTCGCTAGGACAATACTTTAATTCCAATATATTTTCCGCATATTTCTCATTTAAAAAATGATATCGAACATCTATGTATTTACTTCGTTTGTTACCTATACCATTCTTTATAATTTGTATAGTACTTTGATTATTATTTATCAATATATAAATTGACGTTAACGAAATTTCCTGTAATTTCTTCTATTAAAGTTCTAAGAAATATAATTTCTTTTACACATTCCGCTGCCGCTATAAACTTTGCTTCTGTACTTGATAAAGCTACTATGGGTGGCTCATTTTAATCGACGCACCCGAATATCTCCTAAAATACGCCAGCTATAAAAAAATGTTTCAAATAAAAATGGAATGGTGTCGAGGGGGACACATTTTAGTCACATTGTTTTTTTTCTAAGTGGAGGCGCTAAAAAGATATCAAGGTCACCTCCACTTTTTTAAATGGAATTATGTAATTTTTTTTAAATAACGTGATTCCTCTAACTATTTTGCATATAAAAGTATTAAGGTAGAGATACCAAAAAACCAATAGTTTTCGAGATATTTTACACTTTATTTTGGTACATTTTGACACAAAATGTTAAATAACTCGTAAACTGTTGACTCTTTGATTATCGTACCTTAATACTTTTGTGAATAGAATAATAAGATAAATCAAATGGTATAAAGAAAACACATAGTTGCTTTAAAAAAAATATGTATGCAAAATGGATAATTTTTTAAATACGCAACTATGTGTTTTCTTTACACCATTTGATTTATCTCATTATTCTGTTCACAAAAGTATTAAGGTTACATCAACTAAGAGTGAAAGTGATGATATTCGAGAAAGAGATAATTTCAAACAGTTTCTTGCAAATTGGTCAGTTCAATTCAATATCCCACACGTTGCATTGAAATCACTGTTACAAAAACTGAAGGAATATCCTATTTATGAAAATTTGTCTTCGGATCCGCGGTCATTGTTAAATACCCCGAGAAATATACAAATAAGAAATGTTTTCCCTGGAGAATATTGTCACGTAGGCTTATCAAAGGGGATAAAATCTATTGTATCTTGTATGTCGACTGTACCGGATGGTATCATCAAAGTATCTATCAATATCGACGGTTTACCATTATCAAAGTCATCACAGAAACAGTTGTGGCCTATATTGGGTTCTGTGAAACCATTAAAAAATGTTTTTGTAATTGGCATATATTACGGAGAAGAAAAACCAAAGGATGTAAATGATTTCTTAAAGGATTTTGTGATAGAAGCAAAACAGTTGTGCACGGAAGGAATATATATTAAAGATATTCTATTGCAATGCACAATTGACTCATTAATCTGCGACATGCCCGCAAAATCGTTTGTTTTATGTACGAAAGGACACTCAGGATATTCGAGCTGTCCTTCTTGCATTATCGAAGGTGAATATATTAATGGAAGAGTGTGTTTTCCACAAATCCGTGCTCATAAAAGAACAGATGACGATTTTATAAATAAAACCGACGATGAATATCACAATCCCAGGATTACCAGTTGTTTGTTAGAAATTCCTGGTTTTGGCCCAGTTACAAACGTGCCAACTGACCCAATGTATTTATTGTATTTAGGTATTATGCGTAGAATGCTCAACCTATTAATATCCGGCGACTTGCAATATCGGCTTCCAAATGTCGAAGTCGAGCGAATATCTTCTTATTTAGAAAATGAGATTGCACTACACATTCCCAATGATTTTGCGAGAAAACCGAGATCATTAAAATTTATGAAATTATGGAAGGCTACTGAATTCCGACAAATTATATTGTATACCCCAAGCAGCAAAATAGGGCGAAATTATATCTATTCGACCTTCTGATAGGTTAAAAAATCT